TGCCCTTGACTTGCACAGCAGTCTGGGCCCTCACTGTACCTCAAAATCCTAAACCTGATTCAAATTCAGATCTTGACCCTCATCCTAACCTTATCCAGCATCATCCTAACCTTACCCCCAGCACCATCTTAATCCTAATCCAGTTTCTTCATCCTTTGTCTGTTTGAAGGCCTTCTTTTATTTAAGGAAGGCAAGCAGTCTTCTGGGCCAACCCTCAGCATTCTCGTTCTTGAAAAAGCACAAAGTGAAGATCTGTCAGTTTGAGGAGGCCACTTTCTGCAGGCTCCGGTCAGAGGTAAGGATGAGCATAATCTTCAAATTTTGTTTTTTCTAAGAATTACCCTATTTTTTAAATTCCATCATGTCTTTTTTTTCCTGTATGGTTATAAAAAGTTGGATATATTTTATAGAAATATGTGTTATATAGAAAATGAAATAGCCCCCACTCATCTTACATCACTCCCATCATAGTTAAAAATTTGATCTGTATTCTTCCAACTATACACAAACATGTCATTTTTCAATTATATCATTTTAATAGGATCATATTCCATATTCTTTTTCCTCTGCAGCTAATTTTACTTTTCATAGTATAATTGAACATATACTTGCATATGTGCATACATATTTATCCATCAAATAATTGCAACTGCCAAGAACTCCAAGTATATTGTATGGATAGAGCATAGTTTATTCCTTTTATTCATGTGCATTTATGTTGTCTCTAATTTAGGGGTTGAAAATTGGTGTAGTGAATATTCTTGTTATATATCTCTCTTCCCTTTTTGTAGGAACTTCTTTGAGAAGTTCCCAAACGTAGAAATGCTAAGGCAGAAGATATGGACAATTTTACTAAATATATCATCAAATTGACCACCAAAAATATTATATAAATTTGAATTTTTCCCATTTCTTCATATTCTTAACAACATCAGATATTATCAGTCTTTTCTAAACTTGGTAATTCCTAGACAAGTTATATTGTGTTTTAATGCGTACCTCTTAATTACTAAGGTTCTTTATTATGTTCATTGGTTATTTCTGTTTATTTTCCGTGAATTATCCATTTATGTCCTTTGCCCTCTGGAGTAAATAAACTAATTTTAAGATAAACACTAAGATAATATGGTTATGAACTTCAATATATAGGCCTTTGTAGATTAAAGAGAATATTAGAGTTTTCCAGTGTTGCATTATTTTTGCTTCAATGAAGTGGTCTTTGGAGTAAAGTTAAACATTTTTTTCCTTTTTTGGAAAGAAATTATTTGTCATTTCTCCCAAGATTGTTCAAGAATCACATAAACTTCATCACTTTCTTGGAAGATTGAGCCTTAGAACATGAAGTTATAGGATATCCTCAAGGTAGTTTTGCAACCCAACACCTACATCCACATCTCTGGTAGTACAATCTATTTAGGAAGGAAAGATATGGGATTTTCTTTCAGATGCCTTCTGGCAGCTGAGAGTATCTTTTTTGGTGGCTGTTTGTTTGTTTTTCTCAGTACTTGGATGGAACTCTGCCCAAATGATGATGCCATCTCAATCTAGCCAACACCACTTTCTTTCAGTCTGTCTCTACTGCCCACTGACAGATGTGTAGGCAATGAGAAAGGAAGGTGCTTTCTCCAGAATTCTGTTTTCTCATCCCTTTAATGCTTATTGCCCTCCTGGTCCTTCTAACCAGGCTGTTCTCCAACTCAGTTCACTCTAGCACCTCAGTGATTCCAGCTACATACACATCTCCAAATGAAGAGCTAGTATATTGTATCCATAGCTGGATGTGGTGGCACATGCTTATAATCTCAGTGACTAGGGAGGCTGAGGCAGAAGGATTGCAAGTTTGAGGCCAGTCTCTGCAACTTAGTGAGACCCTACCTCAAAATAGATGTAGCTCAGTGGTACAGTACCCCTGGGTTCAATTCCCAGTTCCAAAAAACAAAACAAAACGTAGTCCATGGTATCCTTCCCACATTTACCCACATTTCTTATTTTGTCAACTCCAGGTCTGTTTCAACATGGGGCAGATCACCTTGGCCAAAAAATTAGCTAGGCAAGCCCTTCGACTGCTGAAAAGGAATTTCCCTTGGACCTGGATTGGTGTCTTTTTCCAAACATTTCTGGAAAAGTATTGGTATTCCTGTTTCCCGAGCCAATCTCCAAATAATCCCAGTGAGAAGTGAGAAGACAGTCCAGATTGTCCTGGTTCCCTTTAGGGCTACAGAGAACCACAGCTAAAGTAGGACCCAGCCTAGAGCTTTTCTTATATTGATCTAAGAGTCCTCTTTTTCTTGCTATCAAGTGATTTTCAAGCATGTTAGCAGAAAAGCATATAACAAGATCCATAATAGCAGAGCAGATAAGTATAACACTTCTAGGTCTCCCACCTTCTTCTCCCAGCTAATTAAGTATGACAAATAGCAAGTCAAAGAATGAGTCTTTTTTAAAAAAGGGCTCATTTCTAGACTTTTCCTTGTTTAGAGGGATGAATTAAAATGGTCCGTGGGGTTGGGAGCAGTGGAGTTCCAGGAACATTTCTGTGTTTGACAATCTGTAGATGGCCCCTAATGAGTAGACCTAGGACTCTTGTGGGGAGGAAGAGTTGGGCATGGTGAAGAATAAGGGTGTGCTGACTAACCACCCCGTGCTTCACAACAGTAAGAAGAAGCTGGCAGTTCTACAGCAACGGGTACATTGCCTCTCCTTGCTCTGGCAACTCTATAACCTGGAGGCCACAGCCAGTAGCCGCAGGTTTGCCTGCCTGGCCACTCTCATGCAGAAAAATTCAGCTGAGGAGTTTGCAAATGAAGCCCAGGTGAGCAATTCTTGGACTTCACTGAGAAACCTCAAGTGCCAGAAAGACCCTGCCAAGTTCCTGTTTTTAGCATCATTCCCCAACACCCCAGACTTAACGAGATACCATTGATCATTGATCATGTATTTGAGAAGGGCTTCTCAATTTGCAGTTTATAGAAAGATTTCCAGGTGTGGGGCTATGTGGGATCACCCTGAACTGAATGCAGAATTTTGTGTTATGTTCAAAATGGCATTTCTTGGGTAATAGGAGTGGGAAAGGTCATAGCTTTCTTCAGATTCTCCATGTCCCTGATCTAAAAAGGGATTAGAACTGCTGACTTAAGGGGGGAAACATGGTGTATATCTTCCTAATTTTAGTTCCCATCTGTTTTTCTCTTTTACCCATTTATTCAACATATATTTGATGAAAACATTATATGTCACGTACTGAACTTGGCTCCAGGGAAACATGTAGTATGTTCAAATATAGTAACATATAGTTTGTTAGGTGATGATAAGTGCAATGGCTAAAAATAAAGTGGAGACGGGGAGGCATAGGGTTCTGAGAGCAGGGGTTGCCTTTACTGAGGGGTGAGTACTGGGGATTGAACTCAGGGGAATTCACCCACTGAGCCACATCCCCAGCCCTATTTTGTATTTAGAGACAAGATCTCTCTGAGTTGCTTGGCACCTCACTTTTGCTGAGGCTGGCTTTAAACTCGTGATCCTCCTGCCTCAGCCTCCCAAACCACTGAGATTGTAGGCATGCACCACTGCACCCATTAGGTTGCCATTTTAAACAGGGTAGTCAGAGAATGTCTTGCTGATCAGGTGACATTACAGCAAAGAGCTGAAGGAGATGAGAAGCCAGGCTGTCTTGGAGCAAGATTGTATAGGCAGAGGACACAGTGAAAGCACAAGGCATATCCTCTGTGTGCGAGAAATGGTGAGGAGGCAAGTGTGACTGGAGGGGAGGGAGAGGAAGAGAGACAACCAGGAGATGAGATCAGAGGGACTGGGGAAAGGGGATGGCAGATGGTGCAGGCTTGTAGGCCAAAAATAGGGTTTGACTTTTACTGTAAAAGAGATGGGAAGCTTTTGGTGCTTCACACACACCCAAAAAAAGGGGGGGGGGCAGTATAAGGTTTAGTTTTAATAAGATATTTTAGATGTTATGCCAAGAACAAACTGAAGAGGACAAAGAAGGAAGACCGTTTCAGAGTCTGTTGGCAGTCATCTAGGCAAGAGATGGTGATAGCTAAGATTGTTACAGCAGCAGAAGGAGAAGGAAGAGTGATCTTTTGTCAAAATAAAATGAGCAAAATTTGCTCTTGGATCTCTTATAGGATGGAAAAGAGAAGAGTCAAGGATAATTCCAAGATCTGCGTCCTGCCCTTTAGAGGCATAGAGATGCTCTTCGTTTGGACAGGGAAGTCTGCATATTCAGTGGAAGATTAGGAGCTAGACTTTGGAGATATTCAATTTCAAATGCCTGTTGAACATCCAGGTGGAGCTGTGGAGTAGGCAGTTGAATATATGAGTCTGGACATCATAGGACCTTTCTGAACTAGAAATGGAAATATGGAAGTCACAGTGTATAAATGCTATTTAAAGTTGTGAAACTGGATGAGAACATCAAAGGAATAGGAATAAGCATAGAAAAGAGGAAATCCAAGGACTGTGTTCATATAACTCCAATATTAGAGGTCAGGATGATAAGGGCTGGTTTAATAAAAGAAACTGAGAAGTTGCCAGAGAGACAGGAGAAAAACCAAAAGAGCAAATGTCCTAGAAACCTTGAGAATACAGTATTTCAAGAAGAGAGCCACTAACATGTCAAATGAGTGCATAGTTGTAATAGAGATCTAAGCAGCTGTTCTGAAGAGCCATAAGGAGCAAGACTCAGAAGCCTTAAGTGGAGGGGGAAAAAAGGGGGTGTTTCGATAAGTCTTGGATTGAAGGAGAAGAGGGGCATGTAGAGAAAGTGCTTTGTTTAAAGAACAGGCAGGGGGCATGATCAAATTAGAAGTGGAAGGGTAAAAGGAGCATGTTTTCCTAGGTGGAGTAGAAGAGTGTGGTAGCAACACCAGGAGTCCAGATTGAGAGCAAGAAGGCACCATAGTAGGCCCTTAAACAGGAAAGAAGCCAAATGGAAATGTCACATGAATGGGCAATGGGAATTTGTTTATTACCTACAGGTTGTCTCTACCTACGTGGACCTCTCCCAGTTCTCCCAGAACATGGGCAATAGGGAGAAGTGGCTGCACTGTGAACAGATAGCCATTCAGAAGAGTAGTCTGTGCTGGTTCTCCAGGGAAGGATTATTGGCTACAGCCCAGCTCATGCAGGCCTTGGCCTACACCAAGCTCTGCCTTGGCCATCTTGACTTCTCCATCAAGCTGGGTAATGGGATGTTGGGGCTGGTGGGCCCAGAGATTTCACAGAGTCCAGGTTCACAGACCTCACACAATGCTCTTTAACCTCCTTAGGTTTTCAAGCTCATGAGCTATGCAGACACCTCAAGAAACCGGCTCTGGAGAATCTAGTTCTCTCAGTTCTTTTCAGATCTGCATTTCTGAAGAAAAAGTATTAAGATCATTTTCAGTTATTGTAGTCATTGTATAAGAATGGGAGAGATGTCCTTCAGAGAAGTTTGGGGTGGAATGGGAGATGCTTTTCCATTTCCACAGCCAGGGCTCTTTACCCTGACCCCTCCAAGAAGCATTATCTTAAGTGCAGGGTGTCAGGAGTGGAAATGCAGGGTGGAACTCCACTTGGACCTAGTGGGCAAACTTTGTTTCCCCGCCCCCCATTTCCCTGCAGGGAGGACAGGGGATTACAACAGCTCGGGTTCCTTGAAACTCCCTCAGAGGCATTTCCCACCTCCTTTACCTAGAGAAAGGTCTGATCTCAGGCCTATGTTCTCTATATAAACAAAGCTCTGGAGAGGAGTTCTTGGGAGTATTAGGTGCTTTGAAGGTTAAGATCCCCTCCTTTCCTGCCCCATCTTCCCCCACTCCCTAGCTGGTCCCAGTGGCTCTGTCTCTCGGCAGATATGATCTGTGTGTCCATGTGCTGGAGAGTCAGTGGGCGCTCATTTCCCAGGGTCATGATGTCCTCGGCCTGGCCTGCTTCTACTCTGCTTGCTTAGATCTGCTGTTGTATGGAAAAGGTAAATCTTGCACAGGGCTCTGCTGTATGCTTAAGGGATGCAAACGTCAGATGGGGCACTAGGTTTGGAACATAGGCAATATGAACCCATCCCTCGGGCATGGTCCCTTTTTCCTAAAGTCTGAGTTGTGATTTAGAGGGTATCTGCTTTTCTGGTTTGTTTCCTCCCTGTACCACCCCTTCTATACCTCACTCTCTATGTCGACAATATATACTAGCCCGGTTACTCTCTTTGTCCACAGGATTGCTGTGTCGGCCCTTTGGCGAGTGTCTGTGTTTCATTCAACACTATGGGCACAGCTGTGTTCTAACTTCTCAAAGCAATGTCATGCTGGGGGTCCATTCCTCCCTGGCCATGTGGTAATGTCCCGCTGAGGATCTGTGGGAAAGGGTAGAATTCTAAGGTCCTCCTGAACTCATTTCGGCACCTCACCCCTCTAAGCAGGACAATTCAACATCTTACTTTTAAAGACCATTCATCACCCATCCCCTATATCTTACTAAAACAGTTCTTCTCGCCCTTTGTAGATTTGGGCCCATAAGTTGAGGGTTACATTTAAGAGCTAGAGTAACCCACGGCAAGGCTGATTATCATGGTCTGTCCCACGGCAAGGCTGATTATCGTGGTCTGTTCTTTGGTCTCCTTGCATGTGAGCTAGACTTCAACATTTTCCAGCACCATAATTCTGACTGGGTGCCTCAGGGCCTTAAAGAAGTGACAGTTCATGAAAGAAACATGGTTTATAAACGGGGGATAGAGTTGAGAGTTATGACTCTTTCCTTCTAGGTTTGCCCAGAACTCACAGTGGGACCTATTTGAGCATCACTTCTCCAAGGCTTGCCGATTGGTGAAAAGAGCCAATGCCTCACTATTTGGTTCACATGGCTTTGTGCGATTCCTAGAGTGCCGTGTGCTGATGTTACAGAAAATGCCAGAGGAGGTCTCTGGTCTTTCCCCAGAGACCCCCAGCCAAACCCTCCAGGTAGCTATTTCTCTTCTGTCATTCAACTAACACCTAACTAATGTAAAACTTCCTGCCACTTGCGTCTCTCCACATTCTTCTCTCACTGTCTCTGCCTCCCTTTTCTCCTTGAATACTTTGTTTATCCACCTAGAAAGTTGCTATCAACATCATGTACCTTCCTAGATATTTTTATATCTAGATTAGGACTTGGTTCCTTATATTTATGCCTTCACACAGGTACTACCCAATATCATTAAAATGTTAATATTTAGCCCTCCTCAGTGGGCTTACTCGGTGACTCAGTCTGTGATTAAATACATCTTTCTACAACCTTACCTTCTGAGTATAAGATACATTCCAAGTTACTGTATCCCAGAACCAATTTTCCAGACTTATTTTGCCATCAGTAACTCTTCCCTGTCCCCTAAGCCCTGAGTGAGTATGTTGAGTGAAAACTGTTGTATGTTCTGCCACAGTGGTGTGTAGGGGAAGAGGGTACTAATTCCAGAGCTAATGGATCTTCCTTTTCTTTCAGTACTTTAAGGAGTTCTTCTCTCGGTGTGTGACCTGCCCTGTCTATAAAGAGTGGGTCTCTGAGCTTAAGGCCTCTGTGATGAGGTATGGAAAGAAAGAATCCATGACCTTGACTAACTCCATCAGACCTTTTGAGACCAGCTTGACCAGGATTTGGATAGAGGGAGAATTCCTAAAGAAAAACAACTGTTATGAAAAAAAAATTAGGAATACAGAGTAAGCATTTCTTCCTGGAACCCTTGTGTGAGAGACACAAAGAACAGTCTCAGATTCTTAGAAGCAGTCAAAGGCTGTACCTCTAATGTAAAAAAAGGACACACAGATATAAGAAGTTAGTCTTTGTTCCAGAGGTAAGTATAATCCTCTCCCTAGTGCTGGACCCAGCCCAGACAATTCTATTGTTATATGAAGAAATTGCTTCAATTGTTTTGACATCTAAAACTCTTAGTCATAGAAAATTTGTTTCTGTGGCTGGATGGTCACAAAGGATAAAAAAGAAGGCCTTAAAATTCACAGAGTAATGTATGTGAAGATGTAGGCATGAAAAAGAAAGAAAGAATATAACTTTTTGCCTCAGGGCCCTGCAGATCTCCTCCTTTCGAGGCTGGTTTGTGATATTTTTTTATGTTCCTTCTTTCAGGATTTGACAGTGTGGCTGATGTCAAGGAGAATAAGGACACAGAAGAAACTCAAAGAATATATATGTTCAAACAAAAGAAAAATAACCTGATGGGACCACGATTCTCATATTGTATATAATGCAAGGAAATGCCCTGAGTTCTCCGTGTTCACCATGTGCATGCTGAATAGACTAACCTTCATAGTCACTGCAGCCTATGTCTTTGTCAAAATAAAAGCCTATGTTTCTAAAGCATGCACTGACATCTTCGTTAACTCTTACAGTCATTACCACAATTGCAACAGAAGTGAGAACCAGAGGTAGACTTGGGGGCTTTGAAATGAACCAGTTCTATCTTATATAAGGTGGGATCCACTAGCAGTTGGGAAACTACACCCCTAATAAAGAGGTTGCCATTAGGGGGCTGGGGCTGGGGCTCAGTGGTAGAGTGCTTGCTTAGCATGCCTGAGGCACTGGTTTCAATACCCAGCACCACATTAAAAAAACTAAACAAAATAAAAAAAAAGAGGTTGTCATTACTTCAGGAAGGCCAGCAGTGGGGTACTTGGGTGTTGCCTTCTTTTGATTGAGATTTGTCAGGGGGAATCCAAAAAAGTCAAGGATTCTTTTGAGAGGTACAGGAGGTGTAGGAGTCTGTTCCCTTCTGTGCTTTGTGATTTGGTGTTCCCAGGGGAAACTGTGGTATTGCCAGAAGGTGGAGGACTCCCACCGTCTTCCTTTTTCATCTTCCTTTTTGGAGCTGCCACCATTGGACTTTTCTCCTTGGTGGTGGTTCATCCACGGGTGTGACCTTCCCACTGACTTTGTATGCTTTATACCTCAGTCACCTGTTGTCCATGGAGTCACTTGCCTAGTGTTGTGATTTTATCCCATATTTACAGATGAAGAAATAGAAGCTTAGAATCTAAGTTTTACCCAAGAAATGTAGCCACAAGGGCTGGGGCTGGGGCTCAGTGATAGAGCACTTGCCTAGCATGTGGGAGGCACTAGGTTTGATTCTCAGTACCACATATAAATAAATTAATAAATGAATGTCCATCGACAACTAAAAAAAATATTTAAAAAAAGAAAAGAAACATAGCCACAAATGGAAATCAGGGATTCTAGTTCAGATTTCATTCCAGAAGTTAACCTCTAGGCTATATAGGCTTTTACAGGAGCTGGCCTATACTAACCTGTCCTATACCCAGTCTTCACTGTTCTCTGCAAATGGCCAAGAAGGGAAATTGAAGGACAAGGAGGGAAAGGTGTGCAAAGAGGGAGCTGTACTTGCCCGATAAATCATGCTGTGCAGTCTGCTCAGGCCCTCACACCCCTTTTCCCCTCTTGCCACCCTTCTTTCTCTCCCTTGCGCCCTCTATCTCCCCCTTGCACTCCTCCATCTCCCCCTTGCCCACTCTTTTCTCTCTCCTCACCAACATTTCCCCCCACACCTTCTTCACTGCTTTAAATTTCTGAGGGGCACTATAGAGTAGCAGTCAAAAGCAAGGACTGGACTTATTAGCTGTGTTTGTTTGGGTGTGTAATTTGTCTTGTGTATGCCTCCATTTCCTTTACTATAGATGAGAATAAAAAGAGCACAAAATAATGTCATTGTGAAAATGAAATAAATACAAAACATTTAGAATAGAACCTGGCACATAGTAAGCACACAGCAAATGTTAGCTATTGTTACCAATTCAATTTTTATATTTCAAAAGTAGATAATGCATTTATAATATGGTACAAAATTCAAAAGGAACAAAAACACTTTAAAAAAAGTCTTTCCCATTCCTGTCTCCAGTTGGCTTCTCCAGAGGTGAACTGTATTAACACTTCCTTGTGAAGCCTGGCAAAATTCTTCTATGCATATGCAAGTAATCGTGTATATTTATCACACTCTTCTTTTCCACAAATGGTGGTGATACACAGTGCCACTACATACTTTTGTTGTTGCTACATTCTTCCCTTTTGGCACTTTTTTGAAGATGGAATTCACATAACATAAAATTCACCCTTTTGGTGTATACAATTCAATATTTTAAGTTCTATTTGCAGGGTCATACAATCATCATCACTATCTAATTCCAGAACATTTTTATTATCCCAAAAAGGATCTCTGTGCCCATGAGCTGTCATCCTTTGCTCCTCTTTCCTTAGTCCCTGATAATACTAGTATACTCTCAGTCCCTATATAGTCGCCTGTTCTGGATACTTATTATAATTGGCAGAACATACGGTCTTTTGCATCTGGCTTCTTTCACTTAACATTTTCAAGATTCATCCATGTTGTAACATTACTTTTTATGGCAAAATAATGTTTCATTGTGTAAATATGCCACACTTTTTAAAAATATGTTTTTTAGTTATAGTTGGACACAATATCTTTATTTTTATGTGGTGCTTAGGATCGAACCCAGTGCCTCACACATGCAAGGCAGGTGCTCTACCAATGAGCTACAGCCCCAGCCCAAATATGCCACACTTTAATTATCAGTTTATTCATCAGTTATTAAACATTTGGCTTGTTTTGACTTTTAAATATTATGAATAATGCTACTATAAACATTCATGTACAAGTTTTTGTGTGAATTCTTGGATATATTCTTGGGTATATATGTATGTAATTTATGAATTCCCAGAAATCATCAAGTCATATAGAAATTCTGGGTTTCACTTTTTGAGGGGCTGCAAGACTGTTCCAAAGTCATTGTACCACTTACTTTCTCACCAGCAATATATGACATTTCCAATTTTCCATAAGCCTTGTTAACACTTGTTATTGTGTATCTTTTTCTTGTAGCCTTTCCATAGGTATGAAATGGTATCTCATGGTTTTGATTTGCATTTCCTTAAGGACTAATGATGCTGAGCATAACTTTTTGGAGAAATCTAATGAAAATCATTGCTTTTGTTTTCCTTGAAGTGGGGGGTCCTCTACCATGAACTACATCCCCAGTCCTCTTTGTCCATTTTTTTTTTGCTTTATTTTACTTATTGTTTTTAAAATTAATAATTAATGTATTTGTTCTAAATTGTTATACATGACAGCAGAAGGCATTTCAATTCATAGTACACATATGGAGCACAATTTTTCATTTCTCTGGTTGTACACAAAGTAGAGTCACACCATTGGTGAATTCATACATGTACCTAGGGTAATGATGTCCATCTCATTCCACTGTCTTTCCTACCCCCATGCCTCCTCCCTTCCTCTCTCTCTCCTTTGCCCTATCTAAAGTTCCTCCATTCCTCCCCTGCTCCCCTGGCCACACCCATTGTGGATCAGCATCCACTTATCAGAGAAAACATTTGGCCTTTGTTTTTTGGGGGGATTGGCTTACTTCAATTAACATGATATTCTCCAATTCCATCCATTTACCTGCAAATACCATGATTTTATTCTCTTTTAAGACTGAGTAATATTCCATTGTGTATATATACCACACTTTCTTTATCCATTCATCTGTTGAAGGACATCTAGGTTGCTTCCACAGTTTAGCTATTGTGAATTGAGCTGCTATGAATATTAATGTGGCTTTGTCACTATGGTATGCTGACTTTAAGTCCTTTGGATATAAACCAAGGAGTGGGATAGCTGGGTCAAATGATGGTTCCATTCCAACTTGTATAAGGAATCTCCATATGCTTTCCATAGTAGTTGCAACAATTTGCCACAAGCAATGTAGGAGTGTACCTTTATCTCCACATCTTTGCCAACACTTATTGTTGCTTGTATTCTTAATAATTGCCATTCTGACTAGAGTGAAATGAAATCTTAGAGTAGTTTTGATTTTGATTTCTAGAGATGAGATCATTTTTTCATATATTTATTGATCGATTGTATATCTTCTGAGAAGTGTCTGTTCAGTTCTTTAGCCCATTTACTTATTGGGTTATTTGTGGGGTTTTTTTTGTTTTTGTTTGTTTGTTTGTTTGTTTTTTGGTATTTTTTTTTTTGAGTTCTTTGTATATCCTGGAGATTAGTGCCTGATTTGCATGTGGCAAAAACTTGCTCCCATACGCTCTCTGCTCACCTCACTGTTTCTTTTGCTGAAAAGAAGCTTTTCAGTTTGAATCCAACCCATTTATTGATTCTTGATTTTATTTCTTGCACTTTAGGAGTCTTGTTAAGGAAGTCGAGGTCTAATCTGACATAATGAAGATTTGGGCCTACTTTTTCTTCTGTTAGTCACAGTCTCTGGTCTAATTCCTAGGATCTTGATCCACTGTGAGATGGATTTTTGTTTACGGTGAGAGATAAGGATTTAATTTCATTTGCTATATATGGATTTCCAGTTATCCCAGCACCATTTGTTGAAGAGGCTACCTTTTCTTCAATATATGTTTTTGGCACGTTTGTCTAATATGAAATAACTGTATTTATGTGATTTTGTCTCTGTGTCTTGTATTCTGTACCATTGGTCTACAAGTCTATTTTGGTGCCAACACCATGCTGTTTTTGTTACTATGGCTCTTTTAAGGTCTGGTATTGTGATGCCACCTGTTTCACCCTTCTTGCTAAAGATTACTTTGGTTATTCTGGGTCTCTTATTTTTCCAAATGAATTTCATGATTGCTGTTTCTATTTCTATGAGGAATGTCATTGGGGTTTTGATTGGAATTGCATTAAATTTGTATAGCTCTTTTGGTAATATGGTCATTTTGACAATATTAATTCTGCCTATCCAGGAGCATAAGAGATCTTTCCCTCTTCTAAGGTCTTCTTTAATTTCTTTTTTTTTTTTTTTTGGTGGTCTGTAGTTTTCATTGTAGAGGTCTTTCACCTCTTTTGTTAAGTTGATTCCCAAGTTGTTGTTGTTTTGTTTGTTTGTTTTTTGAGGCTATTGTGAATGAGTAGTTTTTCTAGTTTCTCTTTCAGAGGATTCATCACTGATATATAGAAATGCATTTGATTTTGTGGGTGTTGATTTTATATCCTGCTACTTTGATGAATTCATTTATTAGTTCTAGAGGTTTTCTGGTGGAATTTTTTGGATCCTCTAAGTATAGAATCATGTTGTTGGCAAACAGTGATAGTTTAAATTCTTCTTTTCCCATTTGTATCCCTTTAATTTCTTTTTTTTAAGAGAGAGAGAGAGAAATTTTTTATTATTTATTTTTTAGTTTTTCAGTGGGCACAGCATCTTTTTATTTTATTTTATGTGGTGCTGAGGATCAAACCCAGTGCCCCGCGCATGCCAGGCAAACACATACCACTTGAGCCACATCCCCAGCCCCATA